ATGAACTGGATTCCCGTCAAACCAGGACAACTCAACCTTGAGCAGTTCTAAATTGGCAGCTAACAGGCTCTTAGCACTTGCTTTGGGCATATCAACATTCTCACGTTGGAAATGATTACTCTCTTCGGGAGAAACTTCGTCCAATGTGCACTCTTTCAAATATCCCGAGACATGCGCGACGGAATCCACGGGTTGACGGTCGTCTCCAGACATCTCTTTATCGGTCTATACCTCTATACTTGCAAGTTCTGTCCTTCTCTCGGCATCAAAAATAGCCCGTTGGTGTTCGAGCTTACGTTTAAATCGCCTCTCTTCTGTTTGGTCTATTTTTAAGGCTTAAACTGTTTTACTGGAACTACGACTACTAATAGAAATGTCCTTAAAAGAGCCAGACTGGACGTTTTTCTTTAGTTCTCCTTGTCCTTCGAAGACACCTGGTTTGTATAGTTCGAGGGACTGTTACGTACCGTTCAGGGTAAGATGATAGTTGGTAGCCGTGCCCCCAAACTCCACAATGGTGTCTACTGGCTCGATTTCAGTAGCTGTGATTGCGTTCTTAGTATGCTCCTTAATTCACGCGCACGCTGTATTACCTTTATCAGATGCATTTTAGAGGTGCTATCCTGGGCAGATTTGCACCGGTAACGATGGCAATGAGGCTTAACCTTTATCAACTTTCATTAGCAGAGGTAGCTTTCGACTGCCTAATTATTTGCGGATTTTCTCTTCCGCCCAAACCAATTTTTCACATAAAAGTCTTACCCGGCTTGCGTTGTGGCGTTCCGCGTGCCGCTGCTTGACTCTCCTGTTCTTCTGTCCATTATGTTGAATGGAGTTCTATTGCACACACTGCGGAATGACCTTCGGACCAGTTGCCTTCTTCCCATTTGTTGTTCGTCTTCACTTCCTTTTCTTTCCAATCTGAGGCTAGGATGCATTTATTCCGCACAACGTTCAAAGTCTCCTTGCTCATTTCCATACCTTCCTTGTATTTTTCACCTAATCTAAATTAGGCTTCCACTTTACCTGGAGCTTTAATTCCTAGCATATACTACAACCGCCATTTACCCATACACTCAATTTTCCCTTCCGTATAGCCCCTATTACCACCGGTCCCGATTGACGGGCAGCTGGGAGTTTGCGGTGTCAGGAGGGCTACCAACTATCATCTTATCCCGTTCGATTCATTCATCAGGGAATGCGTCTGCATTTGATGAAATTAATTTCCTCCAGTTTATGGTACGATACTGAGTACTGTAGAATTTTTTGTACTTTAAGTTACGCGTATAAGCCGAAACAAATTTCGGCGTATGTACGGTATTATTGAGAGAATAAGGTAATAATAAAAACGTACAAACCTCAACAATGGATACCCTAGACAAAGAATTCCTTTGTTACTGTTCGAGCAAATCGAATTCACAGCTCAAGGTCAGAATATAAAATTAGTTAATTAAAAGAACGCCGATCACGCTCGAAAGAGGGTTACAAATGGGGGGAAAGGGAATTTCGACAGGGGCCAAATGTGGAATCGCTTGCGAGGAGGGCATGGAGAATTCCAAACGTTGACCAGCTGGATACAACAGAAAAGTTTCCGAAAACCGAGTTATATCTTTCCTTCGAGTACAAAATTGGAATAAGACGTAAGTTCCTACCGCATGAGTAAAAGAGTGAACATTTTTATGCATTTTTTGCACGAAATATAATTGAATTTATAGGGACATCGCAAATTATTGAGAAAAGTTCGTGCTACTTAAGTATCCATTTTTTCAGAGTATGATTTTTGCATGCGAGTGGGAAGAAGTTCTTTCGAAAGTCGGCATCCTCAAGTAAGTGATGATTAATTTCAAAACGTAACTTAGATTATCCTTTCGAGCGGAAAACGCATTTCAGAATCTCGGTTGACATTTAATGAGTTAGCACACCTACTGTAAGTCCATATTCTAAAACTTAAGTGCCAAGTTCATTTATTACGCGATGTTCTAATCTCGTGTGATAGCCCTCATTGGCTGTGTACGAAGTCACACCTGGCCCCTTGTAGACCTTTACACGTGCGTTAGCTTTTTATCGTTTGGCTGATAAGCTGGCTCTCGTGACGGACCTCACTGTAACTGGTTCAATCTGCCTGATGAAGAGATCCAGCCGCGTCAGGAATGATCCCCATCACTGCGGTCAGTCGATTCGCTTTACCCAGCAAGGTCTTCCCAGTCAGCATGTCAGGCACTTAAGGCGTACACAGTATGACTCGACCAGAACTCTAACACCTCAATCACTGCACCCACTTGTGTATTCAGTCTGCTGCTTCGACGCTGTTTGCAGCCCGCTGCTGGGGCGAGGCGACAATACGGACGACTTTGCGTTCACTGGGGCGCGGCACATGACCGACTGTCTGAATAGTTCTTTCGAACAGCTCAAGCCAAATTGAGCTTCTAGACAATACGACCTTCAGGTTCAGTCCCGAACAAATTGGAGAGAATTGGCAGCCGGACGAGAGTGCACCGGGCGCCGGGAGAGCAAGCTTCCGCCGAGTGGGGGCGGGTATGCGTCACAGCGCAGTAATAACAGTTCGACCATCGGTTCCGATGATGTCCACCGTGTGCCCCACAGTTGCAGCAGCAATGGGAGCAGGGACGGTGACTTACGAAGGGGTTTATAGTGCCGGTAGACTTGCGTAGCATCTACCTACACTCTCTCCTCCTCCCTCGCCCGAGACCGGTGTCAAGACAGTGTCAAGAAAACCGGAGACGAGGGAGACCGCAGGTGGATGGCTCGGACGGATCTTCACCTTGGCGTTCCACCAAACCCCCTGGTCCACACAACAAATAACCAGGATTTCAACCAATCACAACAGAGATTTGGAGGCTGGCACGGCCGAAGCCGGACCTGGGCGTGCCGCCAACGCCTGGCTCGGATCCCACACTGTGATGGGAGTGCCATAAAGGCCACATTAAAAAGGAGCCATTGCAGCCAGACTCTCAGACCGCCTCCAGTCAAGGAGGAGGTCCAACTTACCCCGTCAGTTGGCAACCTTCCAAGCCACGGCTTTTAGTGCACCGTGATAGCTTCAAGCGCGTCAGATTGTTTATAGTGAGGAGAAAGTGCGCTGAGTCGTCGACCTCACTCTCCCTTCCCACTTCCACACCCCAGCCGCTGTCCGAGCCGGGCAGCAGACTGAAGTGGGGAATGGGTGCGGTGGCTGTCATGGTCTGCGCGCGCCACGGCACGACCTGGCCCCCCATACACACAACACCAGGATTTCACACAACGAAGGTTGAACGGCGTGTCTCTCACTTGCGTGAGAGGGCCATGGAAGGTGCTGCTTCAGCCCGTTCCCAGCCCACCAGTCCGCCACTCCACACAGCACACACACACACACAACGCGACGAGCTGCGTGAACCGAGAGTTGTCGTCAATCAGCAACCTTCCTATCCACGACGCTTGACGTGTCGGGATAGTCTCGGACTCAAGTCACCCGTGCAGCCGAAGCCGCATGGGGACCGAGTTGAGATGCGGGCTTCCCACTTGCGTGGGAGGTGGTAGTTGGGTGCATGAGGTGCGTGAGTGTTGATGTTTGGTGGGTGATGGTGGTGCGAGATAGGGAGTGAGTGAATGTGTAGTGTGACCGGCGGTTGTCTACCGCAGTTCGTCGTGGATGCGCATGTGGCCGAATAGGCCCATGCGATGCCTCCAAGTGCGAGGGCAGTGTGGGCAGTGGAGGCAAGTGCGGTGGGTGTAGGTTGGTGCTCCAGGCACTGGTTCGCCAGTCTCTGTGCGATGGATTCGCAAGTGACCGACCAGGCCGATGCGTGAGGTGAATGCGCGTGAACAGTGTGGGCACGAGAAGTCGGCGGTGTCAGTGTCAGCTACAGAGGAGGCGGTGGTGGTGGCGCGGACGGATGGAACGAGAGGGGGGTGTGCACGGTGGATGTGTTGGATGTGGTGGGTGTGTCGGGAGTGCGGTCAATGCCGCTCTCGCGGATGCGCATGTGGCCGAATAGGTCCATGCGATGCCTGAAGGTGCGAGGGCAGTGTGGGCAGTGGAGGCGAGTGCGGTGGGTGTAGGTTGGTGCTTCACGCACTGGTTCGCCAGTCTCTGTGCGAGGGATTCGCAAGTGACCGATCAGGCCGATGTGTGAGGTGAAGGTGCGGTCGCAGTGAGGGCAGGTGTAGTCCTGATCCTCATCGCTAGAGTCGGGGGAGGTGGTGGTAGTGTCGGTTGCTATGCGCGGGACAGTCGCCTGAGCGGCCGTCGTTGGAGCAGTGGGCGAAAAGTAGGAG